AGAAAGGATCCATCGATCGCGTGGATGCCCAACTTGCCTTTTAAAATGCCGTTTCGATGTCAGCTGATCGCTGATGTGGTTTTTTTCCACGTCCAGGCCAGTATCTAATAAAAATGGAACCATCAGAACGACGAAGATAACCAATCAGTAATTTTTCATAATATTTTAGATTCCTATTTATCACGATTATTAGACGATATTTTTATTAATAATAATAATAATAATTCACTTACCCAGGGGAACCTTGGAAATGAAAACCTTTTTCAAGTGCAATGTACTGATAAACATGCATACTGAAACCCAAATATCTTAATAGATTAACAAATACGTTAATTTTTACAGTTTCATAGATCCTTAAGGATGCGATATTGTGGACTTCTAAAATTGGACGAAACAAAAGTAAAACAAGAATAGTAACAAAATAGATCAAAGGCAAAGAATAAGACGTACGTGGAATCACTGTTGGTACAGTTACTGGACCTGGCCAGATACGTTTATATGGATCACTTGTGAAATTAGCGAATTTTTACGAAATATTAACCGATACTATAACTTGTAATTTCTTGTTTGACAGTGGACGTTGCCAAGTATTTCAAATACGAATTAAGGACCAGGAAAGCGTTATACGTTTAACAAAAGATTAATTCGATTAAACGATAGGATTCTTGTGCTTTAAAATTTTTAACAAAATTCAATAATATTCGTCGCCACATTTTGAATTAATCCTCGATCATCAGACGAGAGGAAACCGCCGGAAGATGGGATGGGATCGTCAACGAGATCTTCGAAATCAAGGTCGCAACGATACCCATCGAAAAGTAAATTTAACCACGGTTGAATATTTTTATCGACTCGCCTCTTGAAATTCTAATATGTCTCTAGGCTTTTAATCCTCTTAGTTCTCTTTCTCCCTCTTTGGATGCTTCAATAATTCAACAGCCGGTTCGAATCTTTCGCCGTTATTCCGCTCGCTAATCATCTTTCGACGAAGGCCGAACGATCGTCGGAAGAGTGTCAATCTCGAAGAAATTATTTCTAAGGGGAAAAAAGCAATATAGAATTGGTTTTTCCGGCTTCTATGGATATGAAGAGTTTTCTGGTTGTTACTAAAGCATAGACGTTGAGCCAGAACCGATACAGCATCGGAAAAAAGTGATTGAAAGCTAGGTGAACTCGGTTTAGAAGTGCTAGACGCTTGATCGTCGAGGTCATGGTCACGCGCCGGCTCATGAAAGCTAATGGACGTGACTAAAAATTATTTTCCAGTCATTGAATCGCTTTACCGGAACGAAAATCTTTGTCCACGCTCGAAATATGTTACCATTTCATCCATGATACTTCTGGTGTCTGCTTAGCCGCTTATCTTACGATTCTTTGATAGCTAGTTAGTCCTTTCGAGACTAATGCAACGATACGTCTTGAAATAATTCCTGAAAAGATCGGTAAATTGTTTTAGTTCTTTTTACGTCACCGAGATTGTTGGATATACGATTATATGATAAATGGTGTTAAATATTCCGTTTTAAAAATTACATTTGACCTATTTTTTCAAACTGCGGTAAATCAATCCAGGTTAACATATAGTCGTCACTATCGCCACTGTATACGAAAAATTCCTTTCGAGAGAGTAAAACGAGCCTTATCTATTTGCTATCGTAACGCTGTGTCAACTGCAAAATATTAGAACATTAGGTATAATGTGTATTTTACTTACTTACTGAAGAATCGAAGCACCTTTTCTACTTAAGCTTTTCTTACAAGCAGTCATTCTTAGAAATTCATTGATCGATCGTTCTATTAATCGGTCTTCTAATAATAATCCAGATTCAACTATAGAACATGACTTTATCAAGTTTGAATTATAATCAGCGACACGGATATTGAATGCCATCTGTTAAAATACAAATGAAGTCATATCAACTAGAGGAGTCAATCGAACGTATCATTTTTCTTCCAAGATCATTATGCAAATACTATTCGATTTTTTAAATTATAGTCGACGATAGATAGCACAATATCGATTCATCGAAAACTTGATATGAAAGTGGCACTGCTATCGGTAGAAGCAAAAGTGTCCTATTACGCGACGTCAAGTACACGTGTAACTCCCTTGTAATCTTCTCAACTTTTTGTGTCAGCAGACGTCAGAGACGTAGCAGAAACGCTATCTATCATAAATGCACCGTCATTAACGGTTATCGGAATGTAGTCATGCGTATTTTCGGACAGGAAACCACAATATGGTTTCCTAATCAGCATTCGTTGACTTTTTCAACGCAACGCGAATATTTTCAATTCTTTCAATTCTTTCATAAAACACGCGAAATTTCATGGCTCCGATTATTCGTATTTCGACTATTCGACTATTTAGAAAAGTTCTGTCCACTTTCGAATACGTGGAATTTCAAAAATTATATAACGATATTCAAAGTTGAGTCAACGGTAGTAAAATGTTTGAAAAGTTGTCCTACTTTTTTTCTAGATGACAAAATATATATATAGTGATCGACATGTTCCTAATGACCTTTGAAAAATTGGTCTTTGCAAAAAATATGTTTAGAATATTATAACACTCGCTACTGTCATGTTCTCAAAAATGAAGCTTACTTTCTTCAGAAGATATCGTCAAGGAATAAACGAGCTTGTAACAATAAAGAAAAAGGAATGATTTTGCTATAATACAAAATGTTTTAAAAAACTAGGGAAATTTTCTTATAAACTAATACGATGAGAAAACATCTTTTGCGATGAATTTCGTTTCTACTTAAAATGTCAATAAACCTAATCAGAATACCAACTTCGTCTTTTAAACATAACTCGCACTTATTACGATGATCCAGACGATTGAGACGACGCGACGTTCCATTTATGGAGTTGTTTTTATCATTGTAAGGATATCAAAATGTATAAGGACTTCGATTGTTGCCCAGAAAGCTGCCGAATAGATGTCACTGGTTCGATTGCATACAATCTAACGCCGAGTATCTAATTTCCACATGTTTCGAGATAGCGACGGCAGGCTACGAAGAAAACTGCGCAGGACGGCGCGACTGTGAGAAAAAGGAGGGATGCTTCGAATATGGAGCTGTGGTGCAATTTCCCGTTTCCGTCGACCCTGTGGCGAGTTATCTACCTGCCGCCGCAAGAACGAAATCTGGTATGCATCGTATGTATACGATGACACACAGAACTCTGCTGCCTTACCTCTCTTGGAAAATATCCAGGGAAGTAATCGATTATTCAATTAAATATTTTCCTCTGATCCCACGGAATAAAATTTCTTTTTTTTAAATTGTATATAGTAATTCGGTAAACTCTTGAAAAACAAATTTATGTTTGTGATTCGATGTAACATAAAATTGCCAAGGAATATTTCAAACGAATAAATAAAAGGGAGTGACGAATCTCTGATGAGAAAATCTGCTGCAACCAAGAAATTTCAAAATAAAAATCAGAGGATTTTTGTGATTTCACTCGTGTAATGGTATACTCCATAAAAAGAAATAAACGAAAACTTCTGTATGTATTTAACAATCTTCCTATGTGTTCACTAGTTTTTAAGATACTTAGGTAAACTCATTTTGAAGGCTGCTGAATCAGACGATATCTATCCATAAGATATTTAAAATAAGAATAAATAACCGAAGCAGCTAAACAGTAATAAAATTGATACTTACATAAACATACCTAAATTACATAACACGCTTCAAGAAACTTATTACAAACTTCCATAAACGTTATGATTAAAATTAACAATCATGTAGTAACTTATGAATAGATGAAAAAAAAAGAATGGAATCTAAATGGACAATTATTTTATCTGCTAAATATTCTATTTTGGACGTTTTACGTCTTGTTGCATATTGCATGTATTCTATAATACATAGCGTAAATATCCGTAGTCTACTTATGAATCAGAATGTATCCATTTGAAATGGATAGAGAAGCGATCGAGGGTGTGTTACACTTACAAGGAAGTGCTCGAATCCCGAGAAGAAGAGAAATTGCTACAAATGACGAGTCTGTCGATCGAGTAAAAAGCGAAATCCCTATGAACAGGATGGAAAGAGGCGACGCGCCGGCCACTCGGACTTAGGCTAGCTGCGTAGAAAGACGTGTCTTGATAAGTAGACGACCGGGAATCGCCTTGAGGGAAAAAAGAGGATGCGGGTCGACTTGCTGAAAGCCTCGCGGCCGAGCCGATTTCCCGTTTCCATCGATCCCGATTCGTCGCGACGCCTGCGAATCGGCGTTCAGCCTTTTCCGTTGAATTATGTTGATAGCATTCATTCTCGAGCATCATCGCCGGCTTGCAACCGAGTGGAAAAACAAGTGCCATCGAGGGGGGCATCTAGACGCAACAAAAGCAAAGCGAGATATGCGAGGAATAGATAGGAGATCGAGATACCCTATAAACAATATGGATAAACCATGGCCCTTTGCAATCCTACAATCTTTTGTTTTGATTTGTTAATTGATACGTTCACCAGTATTATAACAAAGTAGCATGTGACTATTCGTCCTTTCATTCCTATTTTGCAACGAATGATCTGAAGGTAATACGCGATATTTAATTAGAATATTTTCTGTAAGCATGAGCTTCTGAGGCTTCGACGATGACATTTAGTGACACACTGAAGAAAACCAGTCCAGTGTAGCGCAGTAGGGCTCCCTTAACCGAATAGAAGAAAATAAATTAATTTAATTAATTTATCGGAGTATGAAAGTTGACGAAGGAAGTGAACGAAAGTAGAGGTACAGATTACTGTGTCGACAAAGAGACATTCAATTAGAATGAAACAATCTGAAATGCGTAGAACGTCGCAACAAATATCGATCAAACGACACCTAGGCAACGAATACTGTTCAGGAGAGTTTTTTGCATGTTCGAGGAGTCATGTTGAAATACACTTACGTGAAAACTTTCGTTTAAGAAACTAAATACTTACGTCGGATCTTTGCTTCTGTATCGTCAGTACTAAGTTCATAAGGACGTGGCAAAATGCAGGAAGAGTGCGATTTTCAAGTCACTTTGGAGAAGAAACTATCGGTTGAAGCTAGGCTCGACGCTGTAGCAAGTAGTACCAATTTGTCTGAAACAGAAATGAAAAAATCGGTTAGAATCTATTCTCGTAATCACTTCTTTGGTAATATTACTTTAATTCAACGCATAGGAGAAAGTGACAAGTTGGCGTGATAAAAGGAGAGGTTAACTCTCAAATATTATACCGCGAAATACAGTGGCTTGGAAAAATATATAAAATGTATAAAAATTGTATGCATACATTATGCGTATTGTATGAAACATTTTGAAATTTCGTTGGCACTGTAACGAAGTGTAGCGTCTCGTCACAGCGCTAACGAGCTTTCAAAATGTTTTATATAATATACGCATAAAAAGTTTCCAGGAGTGTCCAAATTTTTCGTGAGTCACTGTATCTCGTCCGTGGTTGCGTAGCGATTAATTACGAACCTAAACGAATGACACGTTTAGCAAATGAGCAGCACGATTCATTAATATTCTCTAAATTTTTACCTGCACCACTACGATTCCCAGTTAGTCATATAAAACTAAAAGCAGTTTATCTTCTAATTTAATTGTAAGAATATCGCGTTGTTTCATACTTCAGAAAATCAAATTACCAATTTTTTTCAAAGATACCAGAAGATTCATCGGTGGACTTCGAAGTTCTATCCACCTCGTCATCCGACGTTCTCACAAAAATTACTTTAGAATCGTTGAAAAACGAAAGCACATCAGACGACCAAGCGAATAAATCAACCCTCGACTCTATACCGGAAGTCGATAACGAGGACGACTCCAATTGGCTGTCGTATTTCGATTGTAACGCGATCTTCGATGTAACCTGTGAAAATCTGTCTTACTACAATTCGACGAAAGCTGAAAAAGACAGTGATAGCGATATGGATGACACTTTGACTTTTGACGATGCTGAAGAAGGTGAATCTATCACTCTGGACGAAAACGATAGTTGTTGCACCAAGTCTTATCGCCAGCGATCGTTTGAAGAAGTTTGTGAAAAGAAGCTTGACAGACTTGACCAAATGACAGATAATAACCATCCCACTGTTGTCTCTGATAAAATTTCTCTGATCGAGATAAACCGCGAACGAAATATTTGCAAGGAGACTCGTCAAGATATTGCAAGCAAAAACGATAAAAATATCGACTGTGATTCAGAAGATCAAACGATCGATGATCGAACTAAGGAAGCAAATATAGAAATGGAGGAGCGTGAAAAACGTATGGAAAATCAGAAACATGATTTTGTTCACATCAGTAACGAAGAACTGATCGAAGAAGCGAACAAGATGTCAGACAGTTCACATTTTTTAAGCGATTGGGATGATGAAGACGAAAGAAATTTGGTTTATTCTTCGCCTAATGTGAATATTTCTGCTTATTTTAAATTTAGAGATAGTATGAAAGAACCTAAATTTGAAGCAACTTTGGAACAACCAACTTCTATATTTTCGAATAAAGGAAATAAAGAGCCATTGCTTTTGGAAGAAATTGTCGGAGAATCTACCGAAAATGAAAAAGAAGCGACAACGAATGAAGTAGAAGATCAATCTACGAAAGAATCAAAATCGGTAGAAGATTTGGTAAAAAATTTTACGGATGATGTACGTTCAAGTCAAGGACAGGGAATGAAGTTCGTAGAACTGGGTTCTCCAGAAGAATATTTAGAAAAATTAGCAGAGATCACGGAAGCAGATTGTCCAAAATCCGAGGAGGAAGTTCAGGAAAAGTTGAGAAAAATCGCCGAGGGGAAAGCAAAGATAGAAAATAGGAAAAACGAGGCTTTGAAGGATCTGTCTGTTGAATTTAACGAGATCGAGAAGCTTGTTGCAGAAACGAAATCTATCGAACAGTATAATAGCGAATCTGACGAAAGTCTGGACGAATCGAAGGAAGAGGATGGCATCGAGATGCCTTTGACGAAAGATCAAGTAGCTGAAAGTTTTAAGATGAAGAATACTCAAAAGGATATGGAAGACGAGGAGAAACGTCGTGCAGAATCGTTGCAAGAATGTCTGCAAGTTATTCCAAGAAACCCAGAAGAATTTATACAAGACGAAGTTGAAGGGAAAGCGGTGGTAGAAAATAGGAGAAACGAGATCTTCAGGGATTTAGCGATGGAATTTAATGAGATTGGAAACCTTTTCGTGAGAGCAAAGAATATTGAAAGTTTTAATAGCCAACCTAACAAAAATCCGAACGACGGTATCGAGATTCCTTTGATCGAAGAAGATCAGGTAGCTGAAAGTTTTAAATTCATAGATAGCCAAAACGACGTGGAAAATGTGGCGGAACAGTGTGTAGAATTTTTAGATGAGTGTCTTCAAGGTATTCCCAAAGAAGAAGGAGCTGGAGAATCTACTGAAGACGAAGGTACGTCTAAAATTGAAGAAAACGTAGGAAATATCGAGGGAAAAATTGAAGAAACTTTGGAAGATATTGTTGAAGAAAAGCTTGTGGGAAATTTTAAAAATATTTCTAAAGAAAAAGTCGAACAAAAGCTTGAAGATGCTATGGAAGAAGAGACTATTAAAAAAATTATTGAAGATAAAATTATACAGAATCTGGAAAATATTGTTGAAGAAAAAAGTGTAGAAAATGTTGGAAATATTACTGAAGAGAAAATTGAAACTGACGATGCTATCGATAAATCAGGAACTTCGAAAGAAACTACTGGTGATACAAAATCAACGTCAGAAACGGCGATCAGAGGTATTGTCCAAGATATTATCGAAGACACAGAAGACTCGATTTTTTGGCAATTCTACAAACAACCGGAGAGAACGTACATAAAAGGAAAAGTTTACGATTTCGACCCCAAGAAACACGGTGTCAGGTACAGTTGCAAGAGCAATGCAATTTGTAAATGTACTTATATCGATGATTTTGCGATATGGCAATTTGATGTTTGGTGAAGTAAATGGTAATTGATCGCAGGATGACAGAGGAGTTTTTGAAGAAGCACTGCAAAATAAATAAACTGTACCAAACCCCTCATCTGAATGACGTACTTTATCTTCATTACAAAGGTTAATCTTATACAAATAATTAAAAATTCCGACGTGAAGAAATGTTGAATTTTACGTTTCCATTTATATACAAAAATTACTATAAATGCGCAGTAAAAAGCGCTTTATCGCGTGCTTCTCGTACTAAAATTATTAAAATTATTTTTATCGCATCATGCGTGTATCAAAATTAATGAAATTTCGATAACAAAGAAATATATCCCTATATATAAAAGAAGAAATATCTTAAAAAATTCTTGAGAAATCTAAATAAAGTTTTATCTATATCTTTAAAAATTATAATGTTTCTTTTACATCAGGAAGGTTTCTTTTAGGTTTCTCATTCATCGAGAATCTGGAGAAATACACAGGCCTAAGATGTCTATGGCTGGAGAACAACGGTATCCGTGAGATCGCGAACCTGGAGAATCAGAGCGAGTTGAAGTGTCTTTATCTCCATAACAATTTGATCAATAAAATCGAGAATCTCGAATGGTTGACGAAGCTAGACACTTTGAACCTCTCGCACAACACTATACGGAGGATCGAGAATCTCGGTGATTCGAGTCGACGCTGGTATCCTTGATGACCTTGACCTTGACGTGCCTCTGCTTTCAGATAGCCTCAAGTTCCTGAATACTCTAAACCTGTCGCACAACTACTTACAAGATACCAATGACATTGAGCACCTCCGATTGCTGGATAGCCTCTCGGTACTGGATATTTCTCACAACAGGATAGACACCGACGAAGTCGTTAATGTGAGTCCGTTATGTTTCCTCAATCGTGTGGCTCTGGCGTCACTTCGACGGCTGCTTCAGGTGTTCATGGGACGCCAGTGATGTAATTTAATGTTTTACGAAAGTGGTCGCGCGTTTTGTAACACAAACGATCTCGAGTAATTTTTTTTTTCTTTCTTTTTTCTATATATTGGAGACACCTAGAGCAGATTGAGTAAGCGAACAGCAAACACATGGAATTTTATGACTGGTTACGTTTCGCGTGAGATTTATGAATAATGGGTTGAAGAATTTTTGTCGAAAACATGAATTTAGAGTTTTTTTTAGATTTATGAGAATGAATTGTACAATTTTATACCTAGATTATGGGGACATGGAAAAACAAATGTCAAATTTTGTAATATATGTAAATTTCAGGAAAATTGGTGTCTGGGAACATTAATTGCGAATTTCTTTTTACATAGATTGTAGAAATATAGATCTGAAGGAAATAAATTGGAAGGTTTTCTTGTATAGATTTTGTGAAATTTCTTGTATGTATAAATTTTAAGAATTTAGCTACTTGGAGAAATAAGATATAAACTAGTTATGTAAAATTTCGAAATATTGTGGAATATAGATCTAAGAAAATAAATTGCTAATTTCTTTACTCAGATCCTAGGAGATATGAAAGAATTGCGCGTGGTATCTTTGATGGGCAACCCAATTCTAAAGAAGATCAGACTGTATCGTAAGACCATGATCTTGAAGTGTAAAAACCTCAAGTATCTCGATGACAGACCTGTATTCCCAAGAGATCGTGCCTGTGCAGAAGCTTGGTAAGTGGCGATTAATTCGAACAATCGTACTTGATAATGATATTTTTCTTTTAAATCGATCAGAGCTTTAAATTTAGAAATGATACAATTACTCGTACTATAATACTTTCTACGGAGGAATGAAAATATAGAGTCGATGTAGTGTAACAAGCTAACGAAACTGTTACGAAGACAGGATGCGAGGAGGACCCGAAGAAGAAGCAGCTGAGAGGAAACGCTGGATCGAGGCGGAGCAGAAGAAAATCAATGATAGCGTGCAAGGTGAGTAAAAATCGAAAGGTAGATGATGTATAGGACTTGTTTGGCTCCTGAACGAAACGGTCGCTCTCGATTTTTTCGAACTTTTTCATTTCTGCACGAAAGACGCTTTCCGAACCTTGAACACTCAGCCATCATCTTCGCGATCTTTCTTTTGAAGCTAACGACGTTTAAATATAATACATACTTGGACTTTACTAACAAAACTACATACTTTCAAGATACAATAGAAAAACTTTCCACTACTATAAAAGTAACATAACCATCGTAAATTTTAATCATGTATTTATGTAATGAAAATACAAAATCAACAAAAAGACGGAGATGATCGATTTAGTTTCTGAGGGGTTCGCCTGTAATCGATGACTTGTAAAATTAGTTTAATTGTACAAAACGGTCAAGCACTTGATCGACGCTTGTAATATAATTTCATTAATTTTCTCTATTTTTCTGTTCTGTTAACTGATTTGGCAAACAAGTGGCCCAATTACATGTCGCTCGACAAGATCGTATAAACTGTGATCTAGCGTAGTTGTAAACTGATCTAATCTGTTATCCATTGAATGTCTGTTTACTTGTGGACCTGCGCCCGCCCTCGAAAGCCCTGATAAACAAAAGGAAGCTGTACAAACCGGTCGGGACGTCCGAAAAGGAGGCGGAGGATAAGAAGAAGACGAAGGAGGACGAAGAAGTAGCCACGACCACGCTTGTCTGCACGAGCGACGAACTGGTAAGAACTAGTTTTGTCAAGGTCTGATACAGAATTCGTGCTTCGAATAATATCGGTCCCATCCACTATTTGATCATTCACCACGCGAAACCCCTTACGCCGGCTTGATCAACGTTCAAGCTCAACTTGGAGAAGAAGAAAAAGTCGGATGGTACCTCATCCTCCAACAGCTCGTCCGCGTCCTCGTCATCGGACGAAGAGGTGGAGAACGCCGAGGTGGACGATGATGGAACTGGGCAAAAAGGAATCGAGAAAAGTGACGGAAGGAGGCCAATGGCGGAGGAAGGAAGAACAGCCTCCGGCGATCTTGGCAAGGAAATTTTGTTACCCTGGAAAACACAGGTACGTATATATTATATTGCATATTAATAATAGTAAACTTCTGTCTTCTAACATTCTCTACATTCATTGGTAATTTTTTATATTCTTGGATTGTATATTTTTTTGAAGGTCACGACACGTAAGGAGCCGAAACAGTTAGTAGAAGAGATTGAAGAAACGAAAGAATACGTGGCAGGAGACGCAGAACGGAAAAGGTTCGGGACGAAAATTTTGGACGATCAACGATGTAGCGACGATCTACCAGGTGGTTATTCTGTTGGAAGAGAACTGGCCCATTACGAGAAACTTGTCCTGGAGACGACCAACGAGACCGAAATTACTCCACCGTGCTGTAAGCAGGGGAAGAACGACGATAGTAAATTACACACCAATTCCGAATACGATTACCGCGACAAGAAACACTTGGTTGAAAGTCACAAAACGTTTCGAGGATGCTCTCCTTGCTTGGGCCCTTTCGATAGTATCAGTGAAATTTTACGAGTCACAAATCGTCATAAGTTTTTACAAATCAACCTTGACATGCTCGAAATTGGTAAACAATGGATAAACCGCAAATTCATGCCTCTATGCTTTTTGCCTTTGTGTATTACGTACATTCTATGTATTTTTGCGCTTCTTAATTTCCCATAAATACAGAAACATCCGAAGTTTACAAATTACCAATACAAACATATTTCCTTATGTAATCGCAATAAGTTACAGAACGTAGTAACAAAACAAATGAAATTTTACGAATCGTTCAATGGTTCTATTCAATGTAAAATTGTAAAAGATGAATCTATAACCTACAATTTGTTAATTATCGATTCACTAATATTATTAATCAGTAAGTTGTTCTGCAACATAATCTTTGTGACTAACAGTAGATAATTGCTAACGTCCTATTCTCATTTTAGCTGAAGAAAAATCATTTAAGGATTCGTCGGTTTGTTGCAATATTTTGGATTGGTCGAATGGCAGAAACAAGAAAGAAGAGAATATCGTAAATAACGTGAAGGATAAACCTCTGTGTAAAGATATCCTGGACAATTATCGTAGAAAAGATGAACCACATCCTTTAACCAGTCAACTGAGTAGCATCAGAGAAGACATGAAAGAGTTCTGCGCTGATGTGGATAAATTTATTGAAGACAATAAGATCGTTTTCAAAAATGGCGAAGTGAAAAGACTGTGGGGTGAGAAAGAGGAAATTAACGCTGGAATCAAATTTGATAAAGATAATGAAGAAAAAGGAAAGGATTCGTCGAATAAAGAAAAAGATTTTAAATGGTGGAACACGAAGGAGAGAAAGTTAAAAGTTAAGGAGATTTTGAAGAGTAGAGAAGAAGAAAGTAAAAGATCGAAGAATGTTAAAAAGATCGAAATTATCGAGGACGTGGCGAAAAAAATCTCAGAATCTTCAAATAAAGAAGAAACTAAAGAAAATAAGGAAGTTTCGTCTTCGCAAAGTGTTTACGATTTATTAAATCTAAAAACGTGTCCCACGATTCTACTGAGCAATGTAAAATCTTATCCTAGAAATGAAGATGCTTCTATGTTATGCGAATCTGCCAAGAAACAAGGCAACGAAGATCGTTCCTCGGGTTTGTTCAATTCACTGTTCAACGAGATGGAGTGTAGAGATTCGAGCAATAAGCGTGAAAAAATGTCAAAGTCCATTAGCTCTCACGAATTGCTGACTTTAGAAGAAGCAGAGGAAGCTGTCGAGGAAACAGCACGGTCATCCAGTTGTACTGATATAATTCTTTCAGATCAAGAGAATTTTCAGAACAAATCTGTTCGTATAGAAATCACGGGTGCAGATCCTGTGAATGCCACATTGCTCGATGACGACGAAGAATCAGAGAGTGAATCTGTGAAAACTGTAATTAACAATTATGAAGAAATTAACCGGGAAGAAGATACACGAACAAATATCGCAAAAGAAAATAATTCTGAATGTGTTTCTGATAGTTCAAACGTTACTGGAGTGCAAAACAAAATGCAACAGCTAGATACCAGGTTCGACGGTACTATATTTTCGAGCGTTGAAAAGTCTAGTCAATCGTCTAAATCGCACAAAAGATCGCGAGATTGCGAATATCTGGATGTAGTCAGCAAAAAATCCCATCTAATCGAAGAAGTGGATATTGAAAAAGACAGGAGCGATGGAAGAACGACTGGTGAAGTGTTTGAAAAGTGTAGACGGCATTTCATGAAAGAGGCAAAGAAGTTTGTACAAAAGGAATCGCCTCTGATCAACCAGTGCATAGAAAGCTTGATAACAAATAGAAATTCAGAGGGAAATTGGAAGATGCAGAGTAGTCAAGAGGATTTCTTAAGTTTTACAACTGCGAACTTAAACCCTGATTTTCGTTGTGGGAAAAATTCGTTTAATTCGGAGGAGAAAATGATTTCTTCGCGTGAACAATCTCACGTGAAGCCGAAAAGCATTTCGAGTATTCAAAATTTCGAAGATGATCGAGCAAGTAGGAAAAAATCGGATTCGTGTACTGATCGACGATCAGGTAAATGTTAATCCTCTGTCTTACAATTTCCATGCTATTTAATTTTTCATTTCGTGCGCCGTGTCAATTTTAGTCGATATTATAAAGCAAACAAAAATTAAAGTTATTAAATATAGATATAGTTATATTAAATTATAAAGTAAAATATTAAAAAATCTCAAAACTCCCTACATTTCAGAAACGATTTTATTTCAGAAATGGCATCGATTACCCAGCTTCTAAACCAATCTCATAGCACGGAGAAGCATTCGTCAAATATATGCACTGATCTCTACCAAGAATTCTGCAATCATTTGGATCAGATGAACAGTAAAAGAAAGCTTCTAATCGAGCCAGATTTCGTAAAAAATAGCAGGGCAATTGGCAATGAACAGACAGACGACCTTCTATCGTCAAGGGAGACCAAACAGTCGAAAGAAGAACAAACAAAACCATTGATCGAGGAGATTTCAGGAAATTCAACAAACGTAGACGAATTAGAAAAACTTGAAGAACTATCTGTTCATCTCGAAGATCTTGGAATGGACGCAGCGTTTAAGGATAAGATATTAAAGAGCATAAGTGCTCCAAAAACTGAGGAGCAGAGAAAAAGAGCAAAAAAGTCGGCCGAGAAGTTGATGAAGACTTCCAGAGAAGCAATGGCGAAAGGAAAATCTTTGCTAGAACAGTCTTCCCCTGTCAGTAATCAGAACAAAGTTAGTAATGAAAACTAGTTACAATTTTATATTCTTACCTTCGTTGATTTCTTTTCACTTTGTTACAACAATTTGCATTTCTATATTAACGAGATAATATTATTTTTAGGATCTTGATCATAGTAGGAGATTTTTCATGAACCTGTTAGCAGAGGCTTTGGAGGAAAATAAGCATAAGGACGTTGATCCCACGAAGAGTATCGATGACAAATCTGAATCAGGTTCAATTATCGAAACAGTTTCAGATATTTCGAAGAATACTGTCGTAAAAATAGAAGAAGCTGCAAGATTATCGTCGGTTGATAATAACAGGAGTCAGGGTAGTGAAATTCTTGATACAGGGAGAGAAAACGTTGGCAGGGCGAGGAAAAGTTTGGAAATGCAGATGGTTCAGGAAAACTGAAGGAAGATCGAAACTGAAACACACAAAGTTTTGAGAAAATGTTAGTATTTAGAAAAAAGAAAATCTAAAAATAATTGACTTTTCATATACCATGAAAGAAGAAAAAAAAATCGTAGACTCTGTAAGTTAAGTTGTACGACTGTATTTCTGTTACTTTGTATTCAAGTAAACGAATTATTACGTTCCAACTATTCGTGCATCGAAAAAAAGCCACGAGTCTAAAAATCAGATTTCGATCCATCTCTAAAAGGAAAAAAGAAAATATGGTAAACATTTCACGAGAAGAATAATCTAAACGATGGATAGCAAAGTTAGACGGACCTTCTACTACGTACACTTTATTTTTTTTTGTCCACACTCACATCAATTATATAATAATAATAACGATGATGGCGGTGATCTGGTGAACCATAATTAATAGTAAGAATAATTAATCTGTAATTATGTGACAATCGGCTGCTTGCAAACGAAACAATAGTCTCCGACGTTCTTATGTTCTCGTCGTTCTCGAGGGCACCCGAATTTCAAACGAACATCCTGGCGCCCTCGCAAAGCTTGGCAAAAAGCTCGTGATACTTTTTTTATACGTTTATATAGGATGATATCGGAATGAAAATTTTTTCCTTCCGTCGCAAAATCGCGCCGAACCTTCCTCTTGTTCCTCTTGTTTCATTTTTTCCCCATTTTGCCTTTTCCCTTATATGACTCTTCTCAGACACATTTATCCGCTTTCACATCCCCACTGTTAGCATTTTGTATCTCGTTTATTTCTGTTCGACCATTCCCCTTTCCGTTCGCTTTACCTCGTAATATATGCTATACGACGTATTTTTTATTTCGCGTGCTCTTACAATTAAGAACTACCTTACTGTTCTGACTCACCGCAGGAAGTAAAGAAACGTACAGATACATTATGCTCCACTGTTTCTATAATTATTACAATAATAGATTTATAAATGTCCATTTTCCCCGTCTCAAACTCTCCCACTCATTCTACCACTCTCGTATCGATCATTTTCTCACGCGACCAGACGAAATCAAACGTTCTCATACGTAATTCGTAAAATCTCTTCGTACCGTGTTCTCTTTTTTCGCTTTCACACACGCACGCATTCGGTTGCTCCCTAATTGTAAGTTATTTTTCTGAACTATACCGAGTGCCGAGGAAGTGGTTTTCGACGACCAGAGACCTGAAACAGAGATTTTACTTGAGAAAAAAAAGACAGATCTATTCGTGTATCGACGAATATCGATTAAATAGAGATCGTAAAGATACAGATCAAATATTATCTTATTTCTCTTTTGGGATCATCGAACGACTCTTCCTGGCCACGTCGTGTATACGTCTCTTTGGGTTTACTTTTGCTTACTATCGTATTGTTATAGTGTAGGTTGCTGTTATTCCTGTCGCAGTTTAATTCATTATTTTAATGCATGACAGCCCTTACACGTTTACGGCTTACGTTACGTTACAGAAAGAGAGTACCTTAACGTCTATACTTGTTTTTTTGTTTTGTTTAGTATTAAAGAGTTTCCTCGGGTTATTATTGAAAAAAGTTTTCGAGAAGCTCGTCGCTCTGAACTCCCTTTCTCTTCCCTTGAGAATTTTTCTATCCTCGTTTTTGCGATTCAGAAGCTTGATAACGGCGACTTCGTGAGAGAAAATGGGCGATCCACTTTTGTTTTTTCCTTTCTCTATGCTGGATATATTTAAAATCGTACAGCGCGATCGAATGAAAACGTAAATTGCGCGGACTCATCGCGTAGTCCGCCGAGAACACGACAGATACGACGAATTTGCAATCGCGTCGTGAAGAAACGAAGAACTCGTAACAAAAATCACCCTCGTCTGCGTACATTCTTTTTCAATAAATTCTAGCATTTGAATTTCTGTTCGATACATCTGAATTTTCTTCAATAAAATTGTTAAATAAAATTTGTCGTAAATGTATCCGTAATTATTTCATAGAGGAATCGTGTTTGTTTAAAACATGAATTTGTGGGACAACAATAAAAGTTATTTTTACAACTATTAAATTTATGAAATTAATTTGAACTTTCCTCGTGTACAATTAGTATGGTTGTTCTCTAGAACAAATTTTGATTTGTTCAGTTTCATTTTTCATGATACTATTTCTACAATGTTGTAACCATTAAAACGTATCATTACATACGAAAGTTCAAAAAGGGTAGCTTTTGCTACGAGTTTTCTAATCGAGTTTCGATAAAGGAACAGCTGGCGAACAAATTTCGAACTCCTCTCGTTCGAACGCTTATCAGTCTTCTTTGTATTCTAGTCCGAGAAAAATAACGTCGAACCCGTTGATTCTTCGCGTACTCTTGATCCCTAATTTCAGACGAGTCTTCTTCGCGTGTCACTCCGTTTTCCATAATGTAAATATATAGTAGATAGATACGATATAGTAATATTTGAGATTAATTTGTACCATCGTTTGTAATACAACGATGAATGTGATAAATTAAAAACGCGTTATAACAGTTGTTCTTTCCAAGCTGTTTAAGATACGTCTCGTAAGTATGACAGCAACACAACTTTCATTTTTCGCATGTTGTGTTATAATATCTTTGTACCTTAACGCGATAAGGAACCAAGTACGACACGTTTGAAATCCTATTAAGGAACAATTTATCCTTTCGTTTCAACTGATTTAAAATGAATAGAAGAGAATTGTAAACTGGCTAATTTCATAATCACAGTATATCGCTTCCAACTACTATAATTTAAACGGTTTGTACACTGTTCCAAGTGTAACGATCTTTCTCGCGACTCTCGTGAATGCTACTCGTCTTTACACTACAATCGTTACTTTTGTTTTCTCTTTAAAGAGGATTGTCATCGTGCGTTGGTGTCTTCGCGTCACTGCATGCGAAACGTTCAACGAAATGTTCCAGAAATAACGTTATCAAAATATAAATGCTCCGCGAAGATATGTAAGATGAACCGATGCATCGTGATTGATCGCAAAACGCTAAGTATATTTGTAATCGTAAATCAAACGATGATTTAAGATATTTTGTACTGAAGATTAAACCATTAAGAAATTCGACGATAATATTTGACGAAAGATTTCAAAGTAGCGCGAAAAGAAATTTTTTAATCAGGCTAACGCTACTGGTGGGCAAAATATTTATTCATGAGGATGATAGCGAATCGTATGAGAAGGCAGTTTTACTTTCTTGTAATTCCGAATAAACCAACAAAAATCGCTTAAAAATGATTTGTAACGGAATTTAACAAGCTACAAGACAACAAATTATTTACTTTTATTCAAACAGACCTGACTTGTTCTACTTTCCTTTCTGCAACTGCCTTCATTTCGTTGCAAACGTTTCAATTGTTATCAGCAATATAATAACATTTGACAGAATGGATCGGCGTGATTGCAAATTCGATCGACTATAGCAGAAAAAGGAAACTTACGCCGTGCTACGTGTACGACTCGCGACGTGCCGAAGTAGATAAAAATCGTCAGATTCTCGAAAGGATATTTGTCTCAAATGTTACGGAGAATCGGTAAAGAAAATCCGTCTCCAAGACAAATTTCATACGAAGCTTGTAAAATATTGTCAAGAGGAAGAGAAATCTGAAGAATCCCGATAAAACTGATGGCATCTCATTGTGCGAAGCAACCAATTTGTACATGGAAAAAATAAAAGAAAAATAAAATAGTAAAAATCGTCATACATTTACATATGTACGAAATATATATGTATATATAATATATATATATATGCGAGTGTCTAAAGCTTGTAATAAATTAAGAAAGTAAATTCGAAGTGATCGAATTTTTCTTGTGCTTTCTATCTGTGTGTGTTTCAGCTATTTCTTTGGCCCTGTTCTTTCGTAATTCTCGTATATTCGTGAGCCCATGGTAAAATCTCGCATCGGAAACCGAAGTGAAAATGCGTAGTCGCTTGTTCTCCCGCGAGGGTCTCGAACGAAATTGTCATACAAAGTGTACTCGTCGTAGAATGTCTACAAAAGAGATACGAGAACAATTATTATGAAAAACGTTATCTTGTAAACAGTGTTAAAATCTTAAGATAAACAATGTAAGACTATTCGCAACAGTATCAATAGAAATGGATCTGACTAATAGGATGCATAATGCTTGTTTCTTGGCCCGCCGATGGTTTTTATTTCTTTTTTTTCTTTTTTCATCCGTCTCGTCTTCAAATTTAATATTCTTCATCTCGCGTGGCTCAGGAGAGAATCTCGCGGAGCGAGACTCTCGGATGAAGTAATAGAAAAAATCGATTCGGAGTTTGATATTAAATTTGGCGACGATCCCATTTCGTCCGACCGTGTCCAGAGGGAAAAAGAATGAAACGAATCTTCGCTCAACGAGCACGCTAATTATCTCATAACTAATTCAAGGCGAAAATTCCAAAGCTTTTTCCCCTCTGCGACGGTCGGGGAATCACTTTTGCGACGCGCTACAATGAATTATAACAATCGATCGTTCATCGTGGGAGTGGTGTTTCTCGCTGGTGCACGTTCCTTGAGAAATTTCGCGATCGATTTCTCGAACACACTATGTACAGATCATCGAATGAATAGAATGCAACGTGAACATATGTGTACATGTGTATATTTAGTGTGTAGGTGTGTATATGCCAGCGGTATGCGTTTTGTATATTTGATGGATTACAGAGATGTTACGCTACGTTTTGCGTGTACACGCGGCATGGGAGGAGAAGAACGAAAAAAGAACGTAAAAGAGGAATCTTAACAGGAGTCTTTGATGACTTCAGTCTCGCATAGAAATCACGCCAGGTTCGCTCTCGATGTCGAATGCGGTTTTTGGTCGATTCGCGATTGTGATGTCTCTTTGGATTTCTACGCACAATTCTCTTTTCTCTATATTGAAAAAACTTCGAGGCGGTATACAGATACAGCTATGGCGATAGCTACGTGTACGAGAAACATTCATCAGGCAATATTCCTTAACTGCAGTTTCTGAATAAACACACTACGTCGCACGTTTTTTATTTTTTTTTTCTTCTAAACTTGATTAGCTACTTAATGGATAGCGCGAATGCCTCCGGAATGTTCGACTTTCAAAGAACCGTTTCAAGGACAGCCATCTTCCACCCACGAACTTTTCACCTGATACCGATTCTTGTCACACTCTGATACATGGATTTTTTGAGTTGCATCCATCCTCAAAAACACACAGATTTTTCATATGAAAATCCTCTTCGTGCAACGAAGGTTCTTCCGTAATTTCTTCATTCGCCTCTCCTTCTTCTTACATTTATGAAAACGATTCTTTCTTATGACGTATCGTATTGATGACGATGACGATTGACAGGGGCACCCACGAGGCTCGAAACGCGTTACGACAAGAACAAGGATCTCTCTGTCGAGTCCACGAAAAATCTACCTTAGTCGCTTTTTCTTTGTTGGGCGAAGAACAAGGTCTATTTTCCCCTACGTTCTTAAAGACGATAAAAACGCGGGAAACGCCGACTTCGTGCCTCGTGAAAACGTCGTTCACGAAGGATGATTACTCAAATGAGAGCTAGTCTAGCCGTCGATAATAATTTATTATTATTTTATTGTTGTTATTATCGTTATATAAAAAGTGATGAGAGAAATCCTTGTAACTATCTATCATTTAACAACGAAGACATCCTTCCTCTTAGTTATCTTTTTGTAACTTTCTGGATGAATGTATATACCTTCCTTTTTGAATATATTTCCGGCTTTTTCCATTCACCTCTTGGCAAACTCACTTCCGTTTCCCATCAGCTGCCGCCACTTTTCTTTCCGCATTCTTTGGCTATGTCCTGGCGTTTCGTTCACTTAAAACAGCGTATCACGCGTTATTTAAGCGTTCTTTTGTACATAATATACACGCACTATATATTATATTTATATATATCGTACTTTATATTCGCTCGTAATTCGAAAGAGGCAGTATTGCTAATGGCTTCTTATCGTCCATCGTAAAAGGATTTACTAAAATGAGTTCCACTAGTTTTTCCACCTCTTCCTTTTCCTTCGTTTCTCATCGTGTGTTTCGCCGCTTTTTCACGTTGAAATAGGACCCAAAAGTATTCGCCGGAGACTCTCATCGATCGAACGAACGAGAAATTAAAAGAAAAGAAAATAGGCGAGAAACGTCGAATGAGAAAAATTATTTACGAGAGGTCGGGATGATGGCGAAGAAAAAGAAAACGAGCGGTAAAAAAATAACCAAAACGCCACGTTTCATTTTTTCCAAGTACTTTTATTCACCTTATTATGACTTCAGAAAAAAAATCTATTCCTTCACTTGCTTTCTCATGCTGTTGTTCCTGATGTCACAATCGATCCGATATATTATCACGGTTCCCCTATGCATTCGATTAACTAAACGATTCAAAACCAGCACTCGCATCCTTGTCCGCGGACAAGGAGACCTACCAACGGGAATAGTAAAGAAAAGAACGAAATGAATAACAAACTGCTCCACTTACACAAACCTCTGCGTTTTCTTTCACGTTTTTTCCTTTTTCTAATTGGTTTATTCTTGCGTTTGTCGTTACTATGACTAGAGACTTAATAAATCGTTAATTTTGTATGACTACTCGTCGATAGTATATATATATATTATATATATATAGTATAATATATATATAATATAATATATATATAATATAATATATATTATATATATATTTTTTGTATTCGTACAAAGAATAAGAAACCATATTGCTTCAGTGGCTCGAGGCTTCGAAATACAAAAACGAGAAGCCTTCTCCGAGAGGCCACGGAATTACGAAATACAAAAAGCACAGATCTTGTGTTTCCATTATTTTTTTTTTTTCCGTTTTATAACTCTTTTTCTTTTTAAATATTTAAGTACCCTTCTTCCTTCATTTTGAACACCGTTGCAATGCTCTACGCAGACAACTAAGGTCTCTGTTCTTTTCAGAAGAAGAAAATATCTGTTTTTGTTTTGAAATTTTAAATGTCAAACTATCGTAAAAATCGAAGGAAGAAGGCCTTCATTTCGTATTGGCGCGGAGAAAAGATTTTTTATGTTATATCTTGTTATTTTTTGCCTAATTGGTCGCTAGAAGATATGGAGGCGTGTGACATAAGCGCGATTAGTCGAGAAGAGTGATATCAAAAAACCGATTATAAATGTTATCGTTCAGGAAAAGTATTTCTCGTTTATCTGCTTGTAACGCAATAATAGAATAACGTCTTTAGAAACTCCTTAAAGACTTCTTGATAGTTCCTTTAACAGTTTTTTTTCTTTTTTTTTTTTTAAATCAGATTACATACTTGTTCTGTTAGGAAAACAATTGCTGGTTTTCGCGTTCCGGAAGCCACGCTTCCCTTACTGACTCACTCAGTCATTTTTCTTTAACAGTTGGTGATCTCAACAGGAACCAACAGTGGTTAAAATATATTCAAAGCAATTTACATTAAACCACTAAGATCGTAATAAGTCGTACATGTTGTATAACGTCCTTGCTGATCACCAGAATATTAAATGCAAATAAGAATGCAATAAAATATAGGAAAAAAACAATATTACATGAAAATAATAAATCCGATTAAAAAGAAATAGATGTGACAGCGTGGTCACCGGAAAGCGATTGGACCGTAATCCTGCGGTACTGAACAAGTAGATTCATCGTTATCTTCTTAGATACTTATATATTAAATATTAATAATTATAAATTACAATCATTATTAATATTAATATTAAACATTATCATTAATATTATTACTTTAAATGCATACACAGTTTAAACATCTAGTTTCTTCGACAAAAACAGGACAGAGAATAGATGACAATGGAAGGAACACAACAGGTGACAGCGATTAAAAAAAAAAGATAGGAGATGAGAGGGAGGAGACGATGGAGGGGAGAAAGTCGAAGAATAATAATTAAAAACACAATCGTACAAAGTGGTTGATGGAAACGATAAAAATCTTCTCAGAAGAAACAGAAGAAGAGAAAAAACGAAAAGGACGGCGAGGGTGAGAGAGAGTTTGGTTTTGCGGTCCGTAGCTTCGATCCGTGATTCTTTGGGTCCTATTTCAAAGGAACTTCTAGGACGACTGTTTCGTCGGAGAATACGTGTTTCCTTGCACTTTCGAGGATTCTTCGGTTCTGGACCGACATAATAGAGAAAGGTGTAGGGTTCTGCTTTGATGAGAGTTAGAAGGAACTCTTCTCGGTCTCGCTGTTTTCTAACTGGAGAAACAGAGGATAGGCTATAAACTAAACGATTACACGTTACATTTAAATATTCTTTCTCTTCATACTTCATGCTGGTCCCTCGCGAGCGTGCATTAAATCCGCGGCGAGGCAAAGTACATTTTATTTTGTTCATTTTATTATCTCGCGTTGTCGATCGTTTTTTCGTTCAGCAGCATACCCTTTCATACGCGACGAACCAGATTTCGATGAAAGGTAAGCTGAAGAAACAACATAGGAATTACCGTAGAATTTTTAATCAGATTTTTATGCAGATTCTTGTTTTGATTCGCAACGGGCCGCGCCTTCGAGACCTTTCACTCATTCTTACTTCTGAACTCGTTCACTCTCTAACAATCTCCGTAACTCGAACATTCACTCAGTTTTTCAAACAAAAAATGAAAAAAGAAAAAGACACAAGAACGTATATAAGATGGTCTCCATATAAGATCTATACAAAATAAATAAGGATAAATCTATAAAAATTACAGATATTAATGCAAACTCGGCGATTATGGTCACAAGAAACGATGCAATCTTCGTGAATCATTTTTTTCCCATTTTCTTTAACTAGCCATCCCTTTTAAGGATAGGAAATCCACGACAAAGGAGAATTGAAATTTGAAACGTAAAAAGAAAGAGGAGAAAACGGAAGAAAGAGAGAAAACATGATCAGAGATAGTGACTTATATGTCGAGGCTCGTGGATGACCCACTATGTACTTAATAGCAGATGCCTTTTGTTTGCGGTACTTCGCGTTTTGTGTGCAAATGTATGTATGTAGTTTTCTATGTACGTATTAATACACGTGCGTACGGTGTGCGTGTAGGTTGAATGCAATATGCGAGATTATCGTAATCTTGGTTGCTCGTCGACATACGTATATATATAATATATATATGTATATATAGTTTTGATGATCATGTTTGCTTTTGTGTCGTGCACGAGCGACCATACTTTTTTTTTTCGTTCTTTTCACATCGTGTTCTCGCCTGGTACGACTTGCTTCGTGCGTGTCGAAAAGAAATGTAAAATCAACCGCCGGAGCAGCCATGTCGGCGCTTCATCGGCAGTGAACGCTCGGAACCACTTTTTTTTCTTTTTTTCTTATTCATAATAAAACGCTTCCAACAACGTAGACCTCTGGACGAGGGATGTTGTCTCGGAAATCGATTCTTGTTTCAACCTTTGAATTTGGGAAGATCTTCGAGGAGACGCTATCAAGATATATAATCAACAGCACGTTCTCTTCGAAGGTTCGTCAAGTAGTCCTTGAGAAAGGGGAGGAGAAAAAGGAAGTAACGCGCACGACATCGGAGAGATATGGCTGTCAGCCTTGGTGCTCCTCTCCGTTCTGTCGTTCTTCCTTTCGCCACGCTTCTTTCTCAATTATCATCATCATCATCATCATCATCATTCGTACGTTAAAGTATATCGAATAAACGGTATACTCATATACTAGAAGCGCTGATATTCACGAGTGATTTTATCCCCGACCTTGCCACGTCGCCAGGTTAAATCGACGACGCGTCTCCGGTAGTCCTTTTTACCACCACAACCCAAAACGTTCTTAAATTCGCTGCCGCTACTGCCGCTATTGCCGTGGGTCTTTCTACTGCTGTTGTCTAGCGGATGTCCAAACTTTCTAATCAACGTCAACTCCGGTGAACTTGGGGAGTAATTCTCCTCCGTTGAGGACACAGACACGCCGACTTCGGTGGCCAAGTGGTGATATTTAATGCTTATACTGTATGCTGATTTGCAGTTGGTTCTGTTGAGAAACGTCTTGGGATGAACCCCAAGTTAGTTCCAAATACGCAAAAACGAGTCCCATGAACCCGTCCCGACGGCCATACCATCTTCCGTAACACCGAGGCAAGATACGCGATTATCATGACCAGCGAGAATTCCTGTAAAATAAAAATAGAATGTCTCAAAACATCCTACTTCTATAGATTCGATTCTTCTATGTAACATATGCTTACAACAATGTTTTATGATCTGCATTTGAAAGAGAAAAGGATTTTGGTCGAATAATTTGATATCATAAAATTACTAAATTTATAGTGAGTTTGCGCTACATGATATAAAATAATTCTAATTAGTGCCATTTCGGCAATCAAAATAGGAACAACTAAAGAAGAATTAAATTAAAGAGAAGGGCTTAATATAAAATTTCTCTTCTCTTCTGAAGGCAATCCTGACAATCTATAATGAGTACGTACCAGCTCGTTCCGCTTTCATAGAATCCCAAACATTGCAGTTGAAATCGTCGTAACCGGCCAGTAATAATCTACCGCTCTTGCTGAACGCTACACTGGTGATACCACAGATAATATTGTCGTGACTATACATCGCCAGTTCTTGATCTGCCCTAATGTCGAAAAGTCTGCACGTGGCGTCATCAGAACCCGTCGCGAAGGCGTATCCATTCGGGAAGAACTGAATATAATAAAATAATTCACATTAAGAACCATAGATCTTTTAAAATTTTCCTTTATGACAAAACTAGTTTTTCTAATAGAAACTTCCAGCAGTTTCACAACACTACAAGTAAGATAAATAAGATAAGATAAAATTAGCTAGAAAATTGAGCAGATTAAGCTCTTACCGTAACAGCATTTATGTCGCTCTCATGACCCGGGAAAGTTTGCTTACAAGATCCTTCGCGAATGTCCCACAATTTTGCACTGGCATCACACGCACCAGATACGAATGTGCGCGTGTCTGGAGCCAAGGATAAGGACATTACATCGCCCGTGTGACCAATAAAGGAGGTACACTGTTGACCAGTTTCTATGTCCCACAGGGCACTAATTTAAAAACAACATAACATTGCGACGCAGTCGAAACATTTTTCTAGGTTATATAATTACCATTCAGAAGGAAGAAACCAAAAACTAGAAGGGAGGGGATGGATAGGATAGGATATATTTTTATTGCACGTTCACAATTCTCTTTATGATTTCGTTCTCAGGATATCTTCCTAAATAGAAGAAAGTAACACATTTTAATTCACGTGTGGTAGTATATTGTTATGCAGGTGATGCAAGTTAGGAACAGATCAATGGAATATCATAGAAAATAAAAATAAATGTTCCTTACCATGTCATATCACCAGAACTAGTGACAATTTGACTGTCGTCATAAAATCGACAACAGGACAAATACCCAGTGTGACCTGGGAGTTCTCTGCTAACTCTTACATTGCCTTCCCTAGTTTTAAGACTATAGATGGAACAAATGTTATCCAGCCCACCGCAGGCCACGAAACTACCTGATGGTGCGTACGCACAGGTCATTACCCACGAAGAGCGTAAAGGGATCGCGTGAACTTTGTTCGTGGTGTAGCTATCCCACACGATTAGTTTTCCATCCTGCGACGCTGACACTAAGTTTCTGTCAATCAAATGGAACGACTGTAGTTTCTCTTTCATATTTAATTACAAGAAAAATTGATTGAAAATCGTTGTTCATACAGAATTATACCTCGAATCACTTCCCCAGTGCATCGCATAAATCTTGGCTAAGTGACCGCGAAGTGTGCGTCTTGTGCGCATCTGTATCCGGCCGATAGGCTCCATGCCCGACGTGGCCTGTACCAACGTCGTATCGCATGCTGCTTTCCTAGCATCCTGAAAAACAAATATAAATAACACATGAAACTTAATATAGCTATTATTTTACATACAACTTAGTGAAATAAAGTTTATACTTAAAACGCAGTTTGTAATGAACACGAATTAAAAATTTCACGTGAAAATATTTCGTTTTGACTATATTGAAAGATCAGATGTCACAATCGGATGCGCCAAATGGTTAATTTATGGCGTTCTATAAATTACATGTATTCCATAAACAAAATCGCTAACTCTTAAATAAATTTTAGAGTTCTAAACTCTTGAAACTGGTCTTCCCAAACGAGTGAAAAGACGACGACAATGCATTTAACGACGGAAGACTAGACCGTATTCACAGCTCGGTTTAAGTATCCTAATTAACATTGTTTCGCGCTGACATAAGAAAATGACTATATGCAGCGTTCTCGGTACTCGAAGCTCACATCGAATTACTCTCGACTGTTCAATTAAGGGTCGACGAATAGTGAAAGGGTAGTCGCGATGTGTATAAATTATTGAAATACTGTTACGAGGGTATTTAAGAACGTACAGTCTATTTATTATGGGCGCTCGCCTGGCGATGCGTGTAATTTCACGCACGCACCGGAGAAGGGTGAAAGAGAGAAACAGGTGGCGAGAAGGAACAAGATAGAACGTGAGTAAGCGGGTAAGAGGAAAAGAGAGAAAGGCAGATCGAGTAAGAGAGAGAAGGAACGGTGGCGTATTGATCAGAGTGAAGCGACGGTTATGCCGCGCCCTACCACCACCACACGCTACACTACTACCACCTCTGACAATGAGTTTCACGTTTCCACCACCATACAAGTGGAGAATCCACCGATTGGCATCGACGAGTATTTTTCAAACGGCAACAACTTCTAACTCAAGCCGATTCTTACACCGTGATCTAGGACGATCGATCACTCGAAGCACTGGACAATTATTTATCTTTGAGAACAAATTTTTAAAGTTAGATTGGGGATGAAATTTTGAATGTAAATTAGTGATACGAATGGGGAGTTTAGATTTCCTGTGGTTTGTTTTGAGATAACTATCTTCTAATAGTGTTTTTATACTTTACGATGATATTCAATATTGATTCTGAAAAATTGGCAAACATTAATAATTGTTTTTACTCCAAAAAATGCAGATATGGAGCTAAATAAATTGTATAAAGAAAAGGAACAAGACACGGAAGGGTAGTATTGTTTTAATAAACAATTGTGATTTTGTTTCAATCCCCTGGGGTCAAGTACAACAAAACCTAAAAAATTACTGGCTCGTTAGGGGAGAATAGGGGCCGATTGTTTAATGCCAAGTGCACTTCGAGCCGAGAGACGCCCTAGACTTTTTTTCTGTTAAGACAATACACCGCTGTTGCATGTAGAACTGTTGCTTTGTTCTCGATGTTTTAAAGATTGCCGGCAAACAAGGAGAACGCACAAAGTGCTACATGAATTTCAACTACGAACTATCCAATAGTAATCTAACTAGATTATTGGTGAATCAACGGAGATCCATAATTGTGTAAAACGTTAAGTATTCCAGTTAAACGAAGACTACCGCCCAATACTATCGCTAAGTCACTATCTCTTACGGTTTTCAGATAATTCATTGACAGGAAACGGTGGAGATATGAAATTCCATACCAAGTACGTGCGCTTAGTTAACATCATCAAACGAAACCAGTTGTGGCCAGCAATACGAATTACATTCGTTATAATCATTTCATAGCAGCTACCTAAATCTACAATTGTTCTCTCTAAGTACTCCATTTTACAGAATACCTACTACTATTCTACAGAGTAACAAGTAATTCACCCACGTTGAAAGCTGTAATTACTGGTGAATTACTTAGACAATTAACATTCCCTTTTGTTCCAGAAATTGACTTCACTTTCCACAATTACCTAGAAGAAATCTTTTTGCACGACTTTACATTACACGTGAATGAAGCTAATTGTCGATGTTCAATGAAATACAGAATAACAAATGGACTTACTCGAATGGCATTTTTCAGCTTGTCAGCCTCCTGACGAAGGGTTTCAACTTCACTCATGATGCCTGTCTAATGATGCGATAAACGTGATTACCCGTTAAGGGTGGAAAAGGGTGTTTCTCGAGGAGGAGGCGGAACACCTCCGACGAATGTGATTCCTAAAATATGATTTTTTAGGAACGGATTAATCCTATTTCGTGCGCCTTCTCGCTCGAAGGTGGTTGGGGCCCAGTGTCACGCCGCCGACGTTTCTTTTGATGACCGATGAATATCGTCAAGTACACCACCACCAAGAACGGGAAGGGTAGAAAGAAGAACTAGAAGACGATCGAATTTTCTCCTTGAGGGGGCTGCACCAGCCTTTTCCAGGCCTTCTCTCTGATCTGTTGCTGTCGCGGCTTCCGTTTCCGCCGCTACCACCAGAACCAGAGCCAGACCACCGCTGACTCTCCCGCCCCACGCGCCAGCTTCGACACCTCCTAGCGAGATCGTTGCCACCCCTGAAATCAGAATCACACAAATTATTAGTAATAACTCTTTCCCAAGTTATTTCTTCCTTTTAGATTCAATAACTTGACAGTACGGATTTTTATAAATTTAATGAATTGAACAATATATTGTATCATGTTTATTACATGAAGAGGTAGTCCACATAATGGTAGTTTCAAAATGAATTGCTCAACATATGAAATAGTTCATTTTTTGCAGAATTAGATGGATAAAAAATCTTACAAAATTTAGCTTTAAATGACAGGATATAATATAGTCATAGTTGAATACAAGATATACTTTAAGTATATGAGAAATAGAAGATGGAATATATTCTAACTATAAGAGAATACATTTCTATAAACAGATTCTATTAATTTTTACTTTTCACCACCAGAAAGGTTATGATATAGTATAATGGTTATTATATTTTTATTATTCTATTTTTAGCCAACCTGCCACATTCGTTGGCAGATTCGTGTCACGGTCAACATGTTTCTTTGTTTGTGCATTAATGGAGCGTCATTAATCTTCCATTGTTGGATGAAAAAGTATAGTGTTCTCAATATCAGCGAGAATCAACTCTTATTTTTCTAACTTCGATAGAAATTCCCACATCTTTTTTAACACCAGAAAAAAAAAAAATAAAAATAAAAATATAGTTCGTGTAAAGTGTATGCGAGAACAGTGTTTTAGCGTGCTATTTATAGCTAACGAACCGATTACGTTCGAAGTAAAGTAACCTACGAACTTCTGGTAAATCTGTTTAATAATTCAAACTTCTCCCACGATGAGACCACCCTTAATACTCTAAACATATTTTCTCCAATTTTTCATCAACTTATACCATACAACACTGTTCATTCAGTCTCACCCCCAGTCTCGCCAGTAACTTAATATTTTAAGCTACATTGAAATTTCGTGGCAACGAGCGTCCTTCACCTCCAAAAGGTCTCACAACCCGGGGAACCCGAGGGTTGTCGATCCAACGCAAGGTGTTCTCATTTTCCGGAACTGATGGAATCGTTCGGCGCATGATCAAACAGCACGAAACGGAATATAATACTACACGTCTTTAGAAAAAGAAAGAAAAAAATTAAAAAAAAAACCGAGTCTTATAAGAAGAAATAAGAAATCCTTTCACCCTCTAACAAAGCTTTCAGAATATAATACCATATTCTGATAAATCGAAAAAACGATTCCATTAAAATTTCCTATTATAACCAATTCCTTCGAACAAATCTACTTTCAACTTTTAAATATTCGCCAGATTTCTATAATATACGCGAAATTGGAGGAAAGAAACGCAGAAGGGCCACGACTTACCCGCTCCGTCCACCTTCCACTCCTGTCAGAGCGTCATGAATCTCGAGCAAACATAACCTCTCTGCGTGGAAGATTCGTGCAGAGGGCAAAGGGTGGTCTCTCTGAACCCGTGGTCTACCGCCAGATTGCGCCGTCGACGGAACGCCAGGAACTGTTAGGAGCCCAGCGTCCGAGTGAAAACCGGAAGAAAAAGCACTTTTCCTAGTGAGAACCGGGCACACGCACGCACACGCACGAGAACCGGTCAAATGCGCGCATTGGTGGTGCTGGTTCTCTTTTCATGCCACGTTCACAGAACCGTGGTAGCGACGAATCGATGAACAGCCGTGGCTCGCCCCACTGTAGTCTGTCTCTTTCTCTCGTAAGCTTTCACCCTCTCCTTTTCTCCCTTCAACCTCTCCCTCTTCGTTATGTACGCTAGATAAAGAGTACACACGCGAACGCTGGTGTGTCTTGCCGAATGATTTCAGAGAGAAGAAATGAAACGATACTCGAGACTCTAACGAATAAAAGCTGAAGGAGTTAAGATACGATGTAAACTGGACACAATCTTCGACACTGTTTCGAACCACACCCAGGGAGGACGTGGTTTCGAGAGAAGACCGCCTGGGCGGATGAAACGAGCAGAGGGAAGGGATAAGCGACGCTGGCGCCACGGCGCCCGCGTACCGGCTGACTACCGGCGTCGCCATGACGCCATTGTCGACCGTGTGACAGGTTGCCGTTGGCGGTAGCATGCTCGGAGGATCGTGTAAATCGCTGTTCAACACGATCCCCGACTTGGTATAATCGATTCAAAGAGGGTGAGATTGGCGAACTGATTTTCTTGGGAAACATATACAGAATCGACGTTGCTAAATATTTGGTCATCTTGGTCTTCCAGGTAACCCTGGAACTATTTTAAGAAATACGCGTTCGCCAGTATATACATATTCAGGAAGTCATATAAGTTTGCTATCAGAGGATTCGCTGAATCGTAAGAAATCGTAAAGAAATTTCTTATTTATTTTGATTCCTATATGATGCTGGTATTACAGAATTGTTGAGAATTAGAAAATAATTTAGAGTAGAGAAATCTTCGAAGATTTGTAAGGGAAGTCCCGTCGTATATAGAGAGTTAAAAATTAGATAGCAGGCAATTTGATGTGTTGTCTTGAATTCGAAACGTCATCGGCGATGCACGGCAAGTGCTACAAAATTCCATTAATCTTCAAGAGGCTGATATTACGCGTCGACTACTATCTACAAAACATACAACAACGTCTAAATAACTTATGTGAAACCAGAACACGTCTATGCAATTACAACGTTGCAACTGCGCTATGTGTGCATAGCTATACGAGAGCCATTTTAATAATCTCCATGCAACTAGAACAAATATCGTGAGAATGTATAATTAATAACCCAGAATGCGTCTCGATTAAGTAAGTGTAGAAAAATCTCAAGTCCATCGATGTTCGACCTACATTCTGCTTAATCTGCCTTATCAAGGAAGAGGAGGCAGCCAACATTTTCCTCTATACTCTATCTATAGTATTCGCGCGAATCGTCTGGCTTTGTCATTCTCCAGGCATTCAACTGGATGGAGGGGAGGGCTGGTAGACCTATCTAACAGAAGACTTCTATCATCGGGATCCCCAGGCCTTCCTACACGCGTTCCCGGATGCGCGAATGGGAGCAACAGTTGAACCACGCGGGTCAACGTCCAATACGATCTCTCCTTTTCTCTCTCTAACTCTCCCTCTTTTCTCTCCCCATCTGCTTTCGTCTCCGGCTGTATACAACAGCGTGGCTGCCAAGTACCTCACACCAAGTGTGTACTTCGAACGAAGTCCCTGGCACGGCCCAACGGTCTTTAGAAAACGGCGAGAAAGAATGGCAGAAGCCACGAAAGGTTTAAGCGGGCGTGCAACGTGTGTCGACGATCGCCGTTGGAACGCTTGTTGGAATTGCACCTGCCAAGAGTTCGTTCCAACGAGTGCTCGTACACGCTTTGTTTCTAGCATAACCTGTGTTTGCTTATTCGTCGTGCTTCCCCGTCCAAAATCATTTCTGCCAGCAAATTTCCACATAGACGAAATGTTTGTTTCATATAATACATTTGTTGTTCTCACTTATTCCTGCGAGAGTGAAATACAGGATGATTCTCTCGCTAAAGGCCTCGAAAGAAGAAGTCGTTGATCGAACATTTGTTGCGACATCAAAGATGATACATATTGTCTACGCCGTGTATGTGTGATCGATAGACTGCGGATTTTTATACATTTATGGTAAATTTAGAAGTGTACAAACGCACAGAATGTACATAAAATATACAAAATCTAATTATCTATTATACTATTTGTTAAGTAAAACAAATCTCTGCGTAGACTCTACTCTTTTACTTGCCTTTATAAAAATGGGAATTTGTATAAATATTCCCAATCTAGTGACTAATTTGAAATTATTTTTACTTTACATTTTGACTTTCAGTTCTCATATATGCACACTGCACACATACAATGATTAGGTCAATGGTGGCTCCTCTTTTTGCGACTTCTAGAGAAAGAAACACCCTATATAAATTGTTAAGTATTTTGGAGAAGGTTGTACAAGCATGGAGAGTTTCGAATGGTTTTCTGTTACCATGAGGCTCGGCAAGTGAAAGCGACAAATACTTGAGGGTGCCATAAATTAGGCCCTTCCCGGTACTGCGGCGTACAGCAGAGGGTCGACTCTGTTTTGCAGCCACACAAAAAACGGGCATCCTTTGTAGAACCGCCGATTCTGACGAACATACAAAGTACAGTGTAGTATAACATATTGCATGTAATTAGATTTACTATTTCGTTTATATTACGTTGTAAATATTAAAATATTAAATTCTAACATATTTATTCGTCCCGTTTTCTTCATTTGCAAATAACGATAGAAAGAGAACGAATTTATGTCATTTGGAAAAATTCATTGCAGACATACGGTTTAAAGATAGATATAACTTATATAACATCAAATTAATTCATTTTTTATCCATTCTCGATACATGTTAACCCATGAACATGAAACTTTTCCTAATAAAAGACATAAATAATCAAATAAGATGAAAAGAATAAATAATCAAAAGAATCACTCATAAAAAGAACAAACCAATATTGTTGCAGTATCTATTCTTGTTGCAGCATCTTGAATTTATTGATAGAAACTGATCGTTATAGCATTCAGTCTAGCATACACCATTATAGATATGTTTTCTACCACAACATTTAATAATATTTTACGTATGTAAAAATTTTTCGTTGTATATTAAATCCTATGCGATATTTACTGCATCAAGAGAAAGAGTATTCTCTTCGTGAAGGAAAGTACTAAAAGAAAGTCTTTCTGTTGCGTAATTGAGAAATTGCAAGGAATGGTACAGTTACGTGTGAAATGTTACGATGAAACAGATACTAAGGATATTAATTACAAACTATTCTTAGATAAAGAGGCTTCGTTACCGCGGAACTGGCTGTGTCTACGGAATGATATTGTGGTATTACAGCTGATGACTGTAATTCACATCAGCACGACCTACTTTTCGACCGCGTAGAACCGGGGAGGATCAGCTTGCAGCCAGGCAGAAGTGGCTGGCTTTTAGTCACGTTAATAAACTTCTTATCAATTCACCAACGAGATCAGAAAAACAAAAGGCCGCGAATCCCTTCGAGCTCTCACGAACCTACCTATTACAAGAATAATTCGTTCCAACAAAATCACACCGATTTCTGCCGCGTTGTGTATACTACCTAAACGCGAGAAGTGAACAGAGAATTACTTTTCACGCGAGTCCTCAATTTTTGGCACGGCATCTCAGAATAGTACGTGCATAAAGAACACGTTGGTTTAAAATAAACCGTGACGCAAGCCGATCGATCTATCAATCAATCTGCAAACGGTATCGCAAAGAGAAACACTTGTTCGTTTTCTTTCGCCTAGCTTTTCCCCTTAAAAACTTCCAACAGACGCGTACTATAATCGAACATAATTATTAAAACATTCGATTCTTACCCATCGGCCACTGTTTAAGAGCATTCAACGAGCCATTGTTACGAACAGCGTTTAGTAAAACTCGACTACCAAGGAAGTAGTATCCTCGCTATTATCACCAATTATTATACAGGAAAGAATGGAAGAAGCGTTCGATTATCTACGGTTTACGAACAGCTCAGAACTACTTTAATATATCTAAATCTAGACTACAAGAATCACTTCTATGCACACATGCTGTTTTCCCAACTTTGTCGATCCCACCGTCGCATGAGAAGTGTAAAACGTGGATTGACTTTAATAAAAGAAATCACCCTTGAAACCAGCAGTCGTTCGTCCCCAGTACACCCAACCCCACAAAGACGAAGAAGGGATACCTGATGGGGGGGTTACGTGGTTCGATCGATGCCTTCTCTTAGGGAAAACATCGTCCCAAATTTATATGTGTGCGTAGATCTCTCTGTGTGTAGCGAGAAAGTCTGTAAGAGATCGAGTGGATCGAGAATCCCTGCGGCTGAAACTCGACCACGGAACAACCAGCTATCCTAAATTCGTATATTTCTCGTAACTTACAGGCTATAGAGACGACTAAACATTAGCATTGTAGAGAAGAGAGGAGAGCATAGAAGGCCGACGAAACTCGAATGAGATGAAATGGGACGGAAGATACGTTGCGGACAAGCTACGGCAGGTGAATGACGTCAGAAGGCGTTCCGTGACGTCAGAAAGTAACCTGAATATGGGATTCCTCGAGTCAGGATTTTTCACTCGCTTCTAATCTTGATCTTTACTCTGGTTTAATTAAATTTTTCGTCAATTTGTTGTAGAGCTTGTAAGTGTTTGACTTTCTCAGGGATACTGGTATATGTGTATATCTTCAGTTTTCTTTCAATTCAGACATGACCCTAAAAAATATAAAGAGCGTCAATTATCTGTTTTTCTTATAGAAACCGATTCATTTCTAATGAAGTTGAATTGTACATTACTTGAGGATTTAGTAGTTTATAAATTACTGCACTATAATCTAAGTAAACTAATAATATTTCAGAAATATGAGTCATAATATCCATGTTTGTATCGAATACTTTTATGAATAATTAAACTTAACACGCAATGGTTATTTACATGCATACATTATAAAAGAAAAAAAAAAGAAATAATTATCTCTTATCTAGTATTAATTGACTTGTTTTTGAAGAAGTTGTATACATATTACTCTTGGGGATTTAATGGTTGATTTATACATACACTTAGAATTACAATAATTCTGGGTCAATATTGGATCGAAGTCTTGATAAACTGATAACATTAAAAAAAAAAAGAAAAAAACGAAAGTACTTCTTTTGTGCTGAAATGAAATACAGAACTTTCGACGATGCAAACGGTATCACAGAAATGTATATAAATACGTGTTAAGAAATTAAGCCGCAAACAGATCGTTTCGCTATTTTTACGAATCACAGTGACGTCAGAAGAAGAAGGGAGAGTAAAGCGGGCATTTGAATGTTTGGATTATCCAAGAATCCAGAAGGCTTGTGGACCAGTTCAAAGGAAACTGGACTGTTGTAAAGACAGCTACGT